CACTGAGGCCTATCTGTAGCCAAAATATGAAGTCGAAAGCTCGGAATTAGTTGGATATGTTCCCTCGTTAGTGAAGAATAGTTCATTGTGATCAAGAAATTTATTAGAAAACAAATTATCAATCGAACATTTTCAATTATTTTTCAATATTATTTATTAATTTCGACATAAATTCTTTTCTTTTCGGTTTTGGGAAAATCTCATAAATATGTATTACATGATAATCAAATAAAAAAATCATGAATCCAATCATAATGTGCCTTGAAATTCGATTTAATATTCAAATATTGTTTTATGTTCTTTTTCATTTTTTTCCTTGAAAAATACACGACATTGTATTTCTTTATTAGTTTTTTTCATGCCAAAAATAATAATTGAGAATATATAATTTTTTTTATTTTAATTTTTTGAATATTTTAGAATGATGAAATTCTTTCAAAGCATTTTTAACTACATATCGAGAATTTTGAATTATTCAATGAATCAAAGTTTCAATTATCATTGACATTAGTGTATTTTAAAAAGAAATTTCGCAAAATTTCAATTCTTTAATGATGACCATAAGAAATTTTTATTCATTAACAAAAGAAAATATTTAAATGATATGTAAATATTGAAATGAACAGAAATGAATTTTATTCGATTCGTTTTTTTATGATTCGATTAACTATTCAATATTATTATGAAAAACCTTACAAATAATGTTCATTTTGAAAAATTATTAATTTTGATCAATGTTGAACTTTTGTACTCTATGATTTCCATTTTCACACACATAGAGATTACCCTCTCGATCAAATGACAAACCGATGGAAGACGAGAGTCGACCATTTCCACCAATGATAACATTTCCTTGTGTGGCTCCTTGAGACCAACGCATAATTCGATAATTCACATAATCTGTCACATATAGAGTACCTGATTGATTCATGATGATTCCCATAGGATGCGATAATTGTGTACGATTAATTTTTTGATCTTGATCACTAGCTACAATAATGCCTTGTTTCTCACCTTTCATCCATTTCATAACACGATGATTATTGTAATCTGATACATACAATGAATGATCTCGATCGACAAATATATATGTGGGACAAGATAACTGATCGAGACGATTCCCTTCTCCATTTCCACCTGCAACTATTATTCCTTGGTTTTCTCCTATTCGATATCGTCTAACTTCATATTTATCTTGATCGACAATATAGAGAGATCCATCACCGTCCATTGTCAATCCCCAACATCCAACATTTGAGATGATTGTTTCTCCATTCGTACCATGTTGACAAGACCATCGAACTACTCTTTTATTGCCAAAATCACAAATGATAAGACTATTTTTGTCTTTATCAATAATCACATCTGTTGGAGAATTCAACTGATCAGAACGATTTCCTTTGCCATTTCCACCGGCTACAATTCGACCAATTGTCGAACCACATTTCCATTCCACAATACGATGATTCGAGCAGTCGGCGATGTAGATATTTTCATCATCATCAACACACAAACCATGAGGATAGGATAGTTGATTGATTGCATCACCTTGTCCATTTCCTCCAGCTATAGTAATTCCATTTTGTATCCATTTGGCATTTGCATTGACATTAGCACTGCGTAAAAGTCTTGCTGAAACAAAACAAAATTTCGTTCATTTTTCTTGGATCAATTTACATCAATGAAAATTGATATTTTAAGGAAAGGATGAATTTCTATAAGAAAATTTCCTAAATCATCATGAAAATTAAGTTTTAGATGATGAAAATGTTTATTAGATTTGTATTGAAAATAATTTAATCGAACTTTTCATTTAAACATTGTTTTTCCATAGAACAGAAATCAACTTAATCTAATCATCACAATATCAGAAATCGAATTTAAGTTAAGAATCATCTAAATGATTTCTCATTGATGAAATAAGAAATATTTTTCTTGAAAAACAAACAGTCGAATATTAACGAGAATTCAGGCTACTAACTGTTTATAGACACTTCATTAATAATTCTACACTGAAAAACGAGATGAGATTTTTGGTACGCAATTTAACAAAAATTTTGGACGCTGAAGGTCACTTTCAAGAGAAAATATTGTAGAAAATCAATTCAGCCTGATAAAGTCTTCAGCAGGTTCTCAGTATGTTTATATTTAACCAGTATTTGACTAGAATGTACAACTTTTTGAAAACCTTGTAAGCTTTATTTATGCTGATTAGAAAGAGGATACAATTCTGCATTATTTCGTATAATAAATATTTTTTTTACGAATCTTTGAGAATAAAAGTAAGAGTAATTTTCCGTACTTTTCCATTAAACATGATTTTATGACATGCCATCGAACATCAATTTGACTTATCTGAATTTTTTTTTCATGCGAGCCAGCTTCTGTTATAAACCATTCGATAGCGAAAAGAAAGAGCTACAAATAATATATAATGCATTTCATTTCGATTTGCTCCAAACCATCAAATGTGCATTGCTATAGTCAGATAGTAACAAAAAGTTCACTTTTTCACCAATTTTGAGTCGATCTATTGAGACTAAACCGACTTTTGACAAAAAAGAATAGTATATTGGTGTGAGTGTAGGTGAGGACTTAGTTTTTAGTCACATCCACACTAATACCATACTCTACTGAGGAGACGACATGCCATATTAATGATTAATACTGTGGTGTAAAAATGATTTAACTGATTTTTATTAAAACTTATTCTCTGGTGAACATGTTTATTATCAAGTAAAATCGATAAGATTTTATTTTTATTAGTTCGTAGAAAAAATTCAAGAAAAAACAATAAAAAGAAAAAATTCTATCTTATTATCTAAGTTGTTTATGTTGATTAAATTTTGATAAGCATATGTTAAGGTTTATCAATACGTTTATTCGAAATAATTTTTGTATAAAAAGAACATCTGTAATGTTTAACATCCTATTTCATATAGAGATAAGTTTTTTTTGTTCTTGTCGAAAACGCAATAAAAATAATATCTACCACGAGAGTGTAGGAGGCTCGCTTGTTCTACAAGATGTCTCTTGTGAAGATACATTTTTGGATGCTCTGTAGAAAACAGACACAGAGTTCTCCTTTGATTTTTTTTAAGTAAAAATGAAAATTTTGAAAGCTAAACTTGAATATAAAATGTCTCTTAAATAAATTCTAATGTATGAATAAAATTAATTTAAATGAAATAAATCAAAAAGAATTCTCCGTTTTTTTAATATAGATATTAAATTAAATATACTCACAGTTTAATTGTTCTGCTCGTATATATATAATTTTATTCCAATCAATTTGATCATTATGAATAATTATGGCTTTAGTTTTATCTTTTTGAATAAGTTGTTCAAATGTTTTTTGTATTTTATTAATTTTTAATTTAAGTTGATCAATATCATTTTCAAGAAAATTTTCTTCTTGTTGATGATAACGAATTTCTTTTGCAATTGTATCAAGTTGTTTTGTTATTTGTATTTTTTGTTTAGTAATTAATTCAATAAGTTGATGTTCAGCTTTTTCTGCTGCTTTTTCAACTTTTTCTATGGTTACTTTTTTCCATTCTTCAATTTGATTAAAAAGATTTGCTGATAAGTAATGTGATTTTTCTAATTTTTGTATTTGATCAATAAGTTCATCATGTGATCTTACAACTTCATTATCAAATTTTATTGATAATTGTTGTTCATGTTCTTTGAAATCCTTTAGACAAAAATATTTCTTACATCCAATACAAAAATATTTAGCTGCAGATTTATTACATGTTGAACATATATTTAATTCATTTACTGTTGCCATTTATCTTAGAAGAAAATTTAATTTATTTTGAGAATATCACGAATAAATTCAATCTAAAAATAAATTAAATTATTTATTCAATATATTTGTTTTATAATTTAAATAAAATTTTTTCTAATTATTTCAAGTAGTTATCAGTCAATGGAGTGTAGGTATGTGAATGTGATAATGAGTCTTATCGTCTCCTACGTCCACATTACAACCAGCTGCTATGATTAAAGCACAATCGCCTGGCAAACATATTACCTCATAGACAGAAGCGCAGCGACTGTCTCTAAACCGTTTTCCTCACGCACACTACACATCTCTGTTTGGTTAGCCTTCATTCGAATCATTTGCAAGTTCTCTTGAATTCATTTTAGCAATTGTTAGATTTTCTTCGAATTTCTTCTCGAGAATTTTTTTTCTAATTTTGACTTGTTTCTTTGAATGATAACAAAAATTCTTGTTCACAGTCACTGATCGATATGAGTATTTGTTTTAGTTTATTACATGTTTTAGTCGATAATCCTGAGATTGATAATTAAATTATCATACAACTTAATTAAGTACAGTATCAAGTGAATTTTCTTAACATTTAATAATAATCAACAAGAAAAAGGTCAATATGTATTACTTTATTTCTTTATAGCTTGATGTTTACGAATGACTATTAATACTTGATATTAAATTTAAATTTTTCTATTTTATATTCAATTGCAAGGTGTTAGGCGAACTATTCAAAAGAGAACTTTTGCTGACTGTTAGATCAATCCGAACAATGTAAGGTTTTCTCTTGGAAATAGTAAAAAAAAAAGATAGGTTAGTAGAGATTCTCTCTAAAATAGATCGGACAATATCATGCTGAGTTCTTATTAAGGTAAAGAAAAATTCGAAATTTCGTGATATTCATTCAATGGAGTCATTTAAATTTAATATTAAGTATTAAATCATTCGTTAATAATGAATATTAAGAATAAAACGAAAAATGATAAAATTTTCGTCAGTCTTACGTCTTAAGTGATGAATCTTCATTTAATTTTTAAGTGAAAAGAAATGCCTCATCTCGCACTCTTCCTTCTCGTAAAAAAAATAACAATGATTTACTTTAATAAATTCAAATATTCTCTACAGAGAAATTTCTTACTCATCAATCAATGAAATATTTGTTTCGTTGCCTCCTACGAAAAAAAAATGCGAGAAGTGATGAGTTTTACAAATAAAAGACGAAACCAAATCAAATGATAGTCATATTTTTTTTCCGAATGAAGAGAGAAAAAAAACTTGTTCGTCTCAAACACAACATCTGGTAAAAGGTTCGTTCCTCTGAAGTAAAAGTTCTTCTATGATTGATTCACTGGAAAATTGCAATTATTTTTTAAAGGTATCGCTTGAATAAAACTAATTATAATGACGATAGAATTTAGCAATGATAGAAACATGCTTCGTATGTGTTTTTTTTGAAGAATACTATTCAGTTTATATTGAAAAGAAGAAAAACTCTAATGTCTAGAATTTTGTTCGTCAGTCTTTGATCAAAAAAGACGACTGTCGAAAAGATTGTCAAATGAAAATTGAGAAATCATGTAAAACTTAAAACGCGTAACATCAGAAAGACATGTAAGTTAATGATGAATATTTGCATAGAATTGAACAAAATAGATCGATCTAAAAATCCTCAAAATGTAAATTTAAAACTGGAAATATTCGATATAATTTAGAAAGAAAAGCATTAGATGAAAATAACGAAGATAATGGTTTTGAATCAATGAAGTTTTCATGAATTTATCTTGAAAAAAAATAATAAAATTGATTTTACTATATGCTAGAGACGGATGGGGGTAGCTAAAAAACGCCACACCACTGCCACATCTTCTTAAAAGTGTTTGAAAAAAGAACTTTTTGAAAAATTTTCGAGCGTCCACGTTTAATACATACCATCGCAAATGTGCATGCATTTTGTTATTCGAGTCGTTTTTAACTAGATTAAAATAGTTCTCATAATTATCGACTTACTTGATAGCGATATTTCTTCATGAGTGTGAAGGTAAATGGAAGGATCTTACTACAAGATACGAATAGAAAAGACCGTATTTTACCGTTCAGTTAAATATTGAGATGATCATTACAGTCCAAACTCTTTATTTTAGGTTTGGCCAACATAAGACCTTTCTATAGTTGTAGTGCATGAGATTATCTAATTGCTACATGTTGAAGTATAAAACGGTTTAGATCGCACAATATGACAATTGTTCAGCTCCACGTTGAAACGAAAGAAATACGATAATTTACGATGATAAAAGTGGTTTCTTAATAGGCATACATTAAACTCCAACGTTCTGGTTGAAAGCCAGGTTTGATCTTATTACAGTCAGTTGCACCTTCTCAATAAAATGAAATAGAAGTAAATCAAAAGAAAGTATTTTCAGAGTTGACTAGAGTTAACGTCCACAAAGTAAAGTAAATAGCTCAAAATTTGAATGACTACAAGCATTTGGAAAAATGAGTAGAAATGCCTGCACAACTTCTATAACATGTCCATATTACATTCATGTCGGTTTGAATATTGATACTTTGAGTTTCTAAACTTTGCCCCTTTAGGTTATAGACCAAGCATCTGAAAGTGATAAATAATTTTCACATAAGATGTTTCGGATAAGAATTCTACATTCCAGTCAGACATACAGATAATAACTAGCGAAAGAAAAACCAATATTGAATAAGATCGTTCCTTCATTCATGGGACTTCTATATATAGATATTTATAATGTAAAACTAAATTAATTGATTGATTGATTTTTACGAAAAAAATCGATAAAAAGGAAATTTTCAACCTTACGTAGACATTTACAATCGAATAAAATTACCATTAACATATATGAAATGAAAACTAAAAACAAAATCTAATTTTATTAAGGTAAAGTATAAGATCTTATTCTAAATCAAAAGCATCTTGTGAATCAACAAAATCAATTTATTTATAACAATATGAAATAAAAATGCTTATTGACTAATTAAAATTATGGTAATATCAAAATCTATCCAAACGTTAAAATGTAATTAAACATAACAATAACCTAAACTGTATATTCTGCTACATCATAAGAAGATATATATATCTATTATATCTTCAAATGATATCCATATCAAAAGGTAGACAGTTTGATTACCACTAACACGCAAACTATGTGGATTGTAGAGTTGATTCATTGCATTATCTTATCCATTCCTCCAGCTACATTAATTCCATTTTGTATCCATTTAACCTTTGCATGATATTAGCACTGCGTAAAAGTCTTGCTGAAAAAAAACCCCGTTCATTTACATGGGATCCATTTACATCGATGAAAATTAATACTTGAAGTAAAGAATTTGGATTGTGACAGAAAAAAAGGCAAATCAAGAAGTTGTATACTCGATGTTAGTTCCATTGTTTTGATATTTTGAATGTTTTAATTTTTGTCTGTATTTCATCGTTAGCGTTCTGCCCGGTGTCGATTGCGAAGCTGTCGTCGAAATTAACTGAGTCTTGTGCCAGAATTTCGTTTTAGCATAAGAGCTTTTTTGAATCGTAGGTTTTGTTCTTTGATATTTACTGTAGAACTTCATAAATGTTAAAGATATCACCGACGTCTTATCAAGACCTGCGGACACGAAATAAAGCTGGAGTTAGGCAAAATTGAAGTCAAACTCTGAGTCCAACTTTCTTTCGTGTCCAAAGGCCTTGGTAAGATGCCGTTGAAATCTCCAAATTGCATCAATTTCTACAGTAAATATCAAAGACCCCGAAATCAACTCCATGCAAGATTCTGCTATTCGATTATGAAAAATGTTATCTCAAGAGTATTTCATTAAGAATCGATCAATACGTCGATTAAGATCAACATGTATCGTTTTACTTCGATAAATATTAATATTCAATTTATTTTTTTTATTCAAATAGATTCCCAAGAACTCGAAAATCTTCAATATTTTTTTTGGAAATCCTGTTACACACAAATGAGCATCTTTGTTTTTATAATTTATTACTTTTGAAGCATGATTGATCGATTGAAAAAATAATCAGAAGAAGAATAACCGATTGACTCGGCAATAGATGATTTGTATTAAATTTTAATATGGGAAATGAGAGAATCATCTTTTCACAGATTTATTTTCATTTATCTAAAACATTTCAAAGAAAAATCGTAGTTGTGAGATTCTGATCTTTTTTTTTCTTATTTAATTTGAAAAAACAACTCTATCATGTTTTTTATAAATACTTCTGTAATATACATATTTGATATTGTGTTGCAGAATAATTTATGCAAAAACTTGAAACCAAAAAAAAAATTTCATTGTGATTAATCGAATCAAAAGTGAAAGGAATAAATGATGTCAGAAATGTAGCTTACGTTAAATCTTTGATGAGTTTTGTTTTTCGAATTTATTGCATTCCAAAATTGAATCGATTTTTCGCAGTGTTTTATTTTTATTGAATAATGTTTATCATGAAATTGAAGGTTTTGTGATTTTCTTGGTTTTTTCTTGTCTCAAAGAAATATGAAAACATTGACTAAATCAAATTTGCTAAACTACTCTGTTGAATTTCATATGTTTCAACATGAGAAGTTTTCCGATGAAATAAACACAATCTACCTTTGTTAGTAAGATCAACTTTATTGATGAATGTCATTGAACATTGTTCAATATTGAAATTTATTGGATTATTGAGAATATCTTGTAATCGTTTAAGTTCTTCATTAAAAAACTTAATTTCTACATCAGAAAAATCATTTTCTTCACGACATCAGATAGTTTGTTCTGATAATTGTTTCATTTTCAAATCAAGATCAGATACGAATTTGATTATATAGGATGAAAGTTCCTGACGAAGTTCATTTGCTGTTTATCGAATTTTTTCAATTGATTCAATTTCCCATTTATCGATTTGTGGCATTAAGTCATTTTTTTTTGATTACCTTTTTTGCGCTTCAATTTCAATTTTGACTTCATGATATTGATTTTCCCATTGATCTTAT